CAGAATTTCTTTGATTATTTAAGAGTATGGATATACTGAAAAACAACGTGTTGCAGAATGCCGTCCAAAAACCAAACAGACTGAAAAACCTAAGAATGTGCTCCCACTCTAACCAGCATACAATAAAAAGCTTTCTTTAATATCTTTAATCCAAATGTATATATTGAACATTTAATTTTCTAAAGGTCACAGGTTCTGGAAAGAAATATTAAAACTAAGTAAAACTCAGTTGGATTTGGAAGGGATATGCAAATTTGAGCCTGGAAGTTGAATATGACTTGTGTTTGATGACAAGATGACCAAAATCTAATTTTGGTATTACTGGGAATAGAAGGAGCGAGACAAAGTTAGTCTGAGAACCTGTGACAGCAACTAGCCCCTCCATACAGCAGCATATCAGTCACTCCCGAACACAGAATACCCAACCACAATAATTTTCAATCTGGACAAGCTTAATCACTCTCATGAAATGTTCTTACTGCAGTGTGATTCTCTGAATGTGTCCCAGTAAATTACTTGGTGACAGATTTATGATGTGAAGAAGAACGAGAAGAAAAAACAACATTCATTTTTCTCGGCAATCAGAGCTGCCCTGAAATAGGCTGTAAAAAATAGAATGTAGATTCATCAAACTGGTTTGGGTTGCTTTTGATCTGGGGTTTGGGGGTTTCTTTATTGTTTTGGGGTTTTTTCAAGAAATCTATTGAATATATATGGAAAAATATGCAGTATGAAATACCCAAGAGATGATGAGTAGTATGGCACAGTAACACAACTGCATGTGGAAGAAAACTGAGTGCATTATACTTCCCAAGTGCCTGTCTCTGAGAATTCTACTGTGATAACTTTATTTTCTATTTGATGTTAATAAAAATACTGGACAATCTTAAGGGACATTATAAGGAATCTATTATAATCATTGTCACTACTACTTTCTAACTCCTGTTAACATACCTGTAGTGTTAAAAAAGATTACAAAGCATGTTTTTACATATAAAAGAATAAAAAATTGAATTTGAGCTGACATACAGAAAGGAATTGGCTGCTGTTCTTTACTGAAATTATCTCACTATACAAAAAGAGATGCAGTGACATACACAAATCAATTCAACTGTGGTAAAAAAGCCAAAATATGTCAGAAGACCGTTGGGTCCCGTTCAATGTGATTGTCTTTTTTAGACTTCTTTTTACTAACTTCAATCATATACTGTAGTTGTTCTAACATTTCACAGCAGATATTTACTGCTAAACTAGATCTGACCTGAGAATGAGAGAGCAGACCGTTCACTGTAACTATTGGCTAATAAATTTTGCAACAGCTGAAGTCTGGTTCAGACAGAAACAAAATCCACAAGCTATGAATGCCAACTGAGGCGCTCTGGAATAGCAAAGTTTTCAATCATCCCTTTGAAACCCTGTTTAAAACTCTTAACTCATTACAGTCTTCTCTTAAGTACAATTTGGTTACAAAGAATACTTGAAGAAAAGCTACCTTTCAAAGCAACCTCTTTAAAGAAAGGTTTTCCAAAATCCTCATTTTTTGCCTTAAAGGAAATCTACCTTCACTGTGCTGTGTCAGCAGATAATTCAGAAAGAAGGTATTTTCTTTAAAAAGAAAAAAAAAAAAAGAAAAAGAAAAGTTAAAGTTTGATAATTGGTTCTTTTCGCTGGAAAAATACACGGCATAGAGAAAATTCACATATTACCAGAAGATTGTAAAATATTCAAATATTCAGAGGTGGCAGAACCATTGTCAAGCTTTTGACATATCCTAGCAGAAAGTATAAAAGTTTCTATTCATCTTAAAATACAGCATTTAAAAAGGACTCCTTGACTTTAAATAAATCTTGTGATGTTTGAACGTTCTCTCAGATCCACTGAAGGACTGCATTTTTGAGATTGATTGACTAATGAATATCCAGTGCAGGTACTGAATTACGAATACATTTCTATCTACATTTAACTATATTAGAGAAAATCTAAGACAAATTAATGGCACGGACCTGTCATTTTAGCCAAGAATCTGAACAGCTGTTTTGAAGATGACTGGAAAATAAGCCTGACACAAAAATACTAAACTTATTCTGGATGACTTTGTACAAATATTATTACCGATACATTAAAAACAACTTTAAAAGGGGAATTCTACTACTTAGAAAAATTACAGGTCAACATCTTAGAAAGAGCACAGTAAAAGTTATGCCACACTAAGGAGCTTCAGGAAATATACAGTCATGTCATCCATCATGCCTTTATACCAAAACTTCCAAATCCCACACCAGAAAGTAGCATCTACGACAAAGAGGAACTTTCTTTGGTAGGCACATTGGTCAGCAATTAGTAAATCAGCTTATCTCAAAACATTGAAATGGTGACAAGTTTTAAAGTTATATTCTCAGAGCTAAACTTCCAACAATATTCAATTTTCCTATCAAATGCTTTATTCACACTAGCTTCCAGAGGGATTTATATTTCAGAGATCTGCTTTTTCATGAAGACAATCAAGTCAGAAGGACAATAAAATACTAAAGCAAACAAAATGATCTGTTTCAGACTTCTGAGCTCTGAATATAGTTTTTATTATTAGCATTTCACTGTCGAGCCATCATAAACAAAAATGGAAGTAGTACAACTTGGTCTTACGCTTCACAGATTTTCAAAACTGAGTAATGTATGATCAGGCAGCAGCTAAAACCAACTGCTTTGAGCAGCTCCAGTACCATGGTTAAGCCAGATACTTTTCAGTAAATCAAATGCATATAGCTTTACTAACAGAAGAGACAAAATATTGAGGAAGATATCTACAATTGCTTAAAAATGTCAAGCTTTTTTATAATAGAAGAATAAAAAATTCTCTAAAGACTATTTATTTTAAGCATGTTTATTTCCTACAGAATTTAATCCCATCAAAACACCCACTCAAATTTAGAATAAATTTACATGTATAAATTCCTAGATGTCTGCAGCTGGAAAATGCATGCGTAAGATGTAATGAACAGGATTTTCTACTATGTGAACAACTTTTTTATCCCTATAATATTAAAGTAGAAAGTGAGAACATGTACTGAGCCTTAACTTAGTTCTATTTGCCACGTTATCTCAGATTTCATGTCAGTAGAGGAACTGTACAACCAGAAATACAACAAGCTTTCAAATACAAAGAATTGTCATACAGACTTATTTTCTGAAGAAATCTGCTTTCTAAACTTAACAAAAGCAGGATAATACGGAGTTATTACTCATATTTAACAGACATGTAGATGTGGCACTGAGGGACATGGTTTAGTGGTGGACTTGGCAGTGCTGGGGTAATGGTTGGACTTGATGACCTTAAAGATCTTTTCCAACCTAAACAAGTCTGTGCTTCTATATTATTTAACAAAAACTGACTTTGGTTTTCTAAAATAAACTTTATTCATCTAGACACAACACCACAGACTAACAGAGAAGGGGAAAAAAATTAATCTGAGCGTTTCAATTCAGTTACCAACAATTTGCACTCCCCTTCATAAAGAGGGCAGATAAGAACACATTAAGAGCAAGAGGAGGATGAACAGTTGTCAAATCAGTAATCAAGAGAAAAAGAACACCCTCATGAAATGCCGAATAATGACCTGGAAACTAAAATGAGGCACTTGAGCTGAAGCATCAATCATCCAGATAGGGAAAAGTAATATTTAGATGACTCCTGTACACAAAGACTGAACAAACCACAGTGAAAATGGCTCCAGTAGCTCATATGATGTAGCTGCAGTTTGATGGGTTCTTTCTAGTTAAATACGTGTAAGCAAAGACCAACCCTACAAGAACAGAGATTACCTCAGAAAACAGAATTGGATGTTTGATAGACCAAGCACAATGCAAACACCTCCCAATGTCTGTACACATATGTGAGACAAACAGGGCATTAGACAAGGGCTTAATTAGAGATGCTAATTAATAGATATTTTGATTTAAAGGTGAAAGCAGACACTGACTGCTGGCAGAATGCTTTCACAAGTTGAGTAACACAATATTATGTATAAAAAAATGACCTTTCATTGATCAATCTCCACAGAGAAGAGTAAGAACTTAGAATTTCCTGAGTCACAATATTAGAAATACGTAGTAGGGAACTATCACATGGCATTAACAAGCACACACATAAAGTAGTAGAGTTTCAGCAATTCAAGATTTACTGGGTAATTCACCTTCCATAGAGGGGGCACAATAGGCTATCTCTCAAAACTGCCTGTATCTTACTTGATATAAACCATATCTGATTCTTCAACTAAAACTAAACTGGGTCATTAATTTTAAAAAATGTATCTAATTGTTGCCTGAATGACAATTTTATAGGCCTGTTTAGTCAAGTTAACACAGATGATTGGATGCTGTTCCTATGAAGTAATATCCACTAATGGTTTCAACACACTTGACTTCTCATTGATTCAGACAAGTAAATACCTGAATAAGAGTAAAACATTTAGATTGTTATTGGACATAACAGGTATTTAAAGTAAGAAGCATTCTATAAAAGAAGAGCTTGCTTCACCATGTTTACAAGTGCACACAGGCAGGTTATTTCAAATATTCTAGGCTCTCAATGCTGCAATAACATATTATAGTCAGTTATAAAAGTAATTAAACAGGTTTCCTCCTTCCAGTTTTTATTAGGTGAAGGGTGAGCAGGAAGAGTAAGCAGTGACAAAATGAAAGCAGAGGAAACAACATTCCCATTCCCACATTTCAATTACATAGCAGTTAGGAACAGGGAAGGAATTCCAAGGCACCTGATTAATAGTGAATATACTTTGGCCATATGGGGTTTTACCACAGCAGTGTTTTATTCTGAGAAAGAAGTTCCTAATTTAACACAAAACAGTTGAAATGGTAAAATGGTATCCATTCTCCTACAGTTCTTTCACTAAACCTCCTTATAACACTGGTTATTTTAACAAGCAACAGAGATTGTCTACTGAGGAGTACTGTAAAGAAACCAGTTCTAAGTTTAAACAAACCTTGTCTTGGAAATTCATCCGACTCCCTGTGAACCAGGTCAGAAACTCGATTTCCATAGTGCATCCTGGTGTCATGATCATATGCCTTCAGCGTCTCACTTGAGCTGTAAGACTTCTGAGTTGGTACTCTGCAGTCTTCACTGTCCAGTGAAGAACTTGTATAGCGACACTCCTTTCCGCACCGACCCCTCGTCAGAGAACGGTGTCTTCTGTCTTTGATATCCATTATTTGGAGTCAGGTAGGATGTTTTCAGAAAAGCCACTCTTATACTTGGGGTCAGTCACTGTCACCTAAAGCAGGAAAGGATAACAAAAGAGTGAGCAATGTTGCTACTACAGTTTGGTTTATTCTAATTCCCTTGAATTATCCTTGAACAACAATGTGGCACAGATTGAGAAGAAAGAGAAGACCCACATGATGCATCCTTAGAAATAGAAATAATTGCCCTGAATGGGTGGGGGAAGAAAATCAAATGCTGTAAGAGAATGGCATTATATCTAAAGTATCATCTTGTTGATGAATTTTAAAAATAAGGATAAAACAAAACCACTGTTATCTTCTGATTTTTGAATGAGCACTGATAACACACAACCAACAGAATCCTATTTGTTCCTGTTCCTGCAACAGTACAAAGTAAAACAGACTCAAACCAGCTCTAATTATTTCCATTCTTCCTGCAGGAGGGCTTGCAACTAAGAATGAAGCATGCAGGAGTGTTGCATAGAGGAGATTATTCCTATTCAGCATTGATGCATCACAAAGGTGTAAATTATCCTTGAGCAATGCGTTCAGAAGCAGCAGCTGTTTTTATTGCCCCTGGATAATGTAATCCAAGGCCCTGTTCCAAACAAAAGGTGGACCAGGTATCTCAGAGGTCCTTTCCAGCCTTGACATTTCTGCATTTTTATTATTCTCTGAAAGCACCTTGGGAACTGGCTGCTCTTGGGCACCACAGAACATGACTAGATGCTCTTCTCCACAATCCCTCAAGAAGACCAGTTTATCCATTTCATCAGTTGGAGCTCTTGAAAATTGTGTAAAAAAATATCTGCTTGCTCACTGGACCAGAAAGAGAGATTCTTACATTCTGCTTAATTAAGACACCCTTACTATGGCATATATACTTTAATATATGCATCGTTAGCATACATAAACTGCAAAATGAAAGATACTGTTGAAAGCAAGGGATACACTAAGCATGAGCACCCTAACCACTGGGGTACTCATTACTTTGAGTCGGTATTTGGATGCGTGTCTTTCTGATGGCATCCCATGCCCAGGTCTGTACTAGTCCTGAGAAATCCTCATGACAAAGTTTTTTGCTGGAAAGGAAATCTGCCCACACAAAGAATACCCAGATACGCTAACAAGCAAAAATCAGAACTAAACCTCTGCTTTTCTATTCCTGGCTAGGGAGGGGAAGAAATGCTTTTGGGAAATCTAGCTGGGACAGTTGAAGACATTTTCTTTACCGTTGCCCCTCTCAGTCCAGGTGCCTACTCGAAAGCCCTCCCCTGCACCCAGTAGGTCGTGCACACCAGCTGCACCCAGTCTCAGGCCAGAATCTTAAACTACAAAAGCGCTTCAGCAATACTATTGATTCTGACACCTCTGCCACCAAGGTAACAAAGTGGTAAAAAGCCCAGAAGGCAGTCCTGTCTTTCACTGTTGTAGTTATTTGCACCGATAGGAAAGGAGGTCCTAACATTGGCTTAAGCATTGGCTAAATCATGGGGTTTTGGCTGGAATAGATTTTGGCCCTAAGAGAGAACAAATGTACCAGGAACTAGTGAACTTGAGAAAAGGTTTATCGGCTTCATTTAGACTCTGACATTTAGACTTGTTGTGGTTTGGTTTTTGGTTTTGGTTTTTTTTTCTTTCTATATTTCAAAGAAGAAAGTTAAGTAACCAGGAGAAACAGCTGCTTTAAGCCACCCACAGATACTCTGCAATCTGTGAGCAACAGAAAGTGTAAACATGCTTACTTTTTCCTCCTTTTTCTCTTATTTTTAACCATGATGGTACATTTGGGGGGGAGGGGGGGAAGGAATAAACAACAAAATCACAAAAATCACAAAAAACACATCCAGAAAAGCCAAAACAAAACCAGAAGACATTCAGCCCTTAAACCTGCAAGAGTTAGTTTTAGAATTTTAGATTAAAGACAACGGAAGACTCAGTATATACTCCCATTTCTCACCTCTCTGACTGTCCAGCGACTAAGCTGACTTCTCCATATCAAAATTATTAAGTTCAATTCTTTGGTCCCATAGTATTTATTAAACTGTAAAGTATATTAACACTGGTGGCACAAACACTTGCTTGAAGTTTGAGACACATGATCATTTAGGTTAACAATGCCTGGCTCTCCGATCCCAGTCCAGTGCTATCTCATCAAACTCCAGTATCAATATATCACAAGTATAAAACACAGAAGCAGGTGAATGCAGTACAATATCGAGCAAACCCTGCCAGTTACTCTCTGGATGTCTTCGTGCTACTGTTCAATGCAAAAGCCTCTTACTCCACATGAAGTTTATCAGACCAGAAAAACAAACAGCTTTTTGTTTTTATGATTGCTAAACTTTAAGCCTGATTTCTATTGTTTTGGAAAGAACATTTAATTCCTTGTTACTACAGTTAAAAGAAGAGTTTACAATGACTGAGCCAAACCTTCCGATTCTTTCCATGGTATTAGCTTCTTAAAGCATCTACTTTAAAAAAAGCAGACAAGAGTCTTTTAAAATTTTCCCTCAATAAACATTCTTTTGTTTTGTGCAATTACAACCACAAAAATAAAAGGAAAGGGTAAGACAATGCTCTACTATTGATAATGTCAAGAAATATTCCTCAGTCACCCTCATGTGCTGAATATAAGGCACTGATATGGTCGGCACCATGAGAAGCACAAGAAAATAAATGTAGAAATATGATAAATCTATTCAGATAGCCTTACTTTGACCTTTCTTAAGGAAAGTCTTGTTACAAGAATCAGATGCCAATAACTTGGTAAATTACTTGATCTTTGTAATGCTACTAAAATTTTTCTTGAACTTTAGTACATTTTAAGAGATACTTAAAAATATCATAGGTAAACTGAAAACATTCTTATTGGGGTTTTTATTCAATGACATGTTCATACTTACTACAGTACTTCTTAACTTTTTCCTAATTTTTCTATTACTTGAGGACAGATCCCAAGCATCTGAGACTAAATACATATTCCGAAATGCAACAAAATATTCTAACAGATTCTCCTCTCATCCTCGTCTCTGTTTTGTTCACAGAAATCCCCAAAGCAGTCAGGCAAAAAACAGTTCCACAGCATTGGCAACAAACTGCTCTTCAAATTCCGACAACGGTATCACCATACATGGTTTAAAATGTGATGAAATGAAATTGTAAAATGCTTTTAGAAAACTTGCTTCACATTTTTCACATACTTATCTTAAATAGACGAAATACTGTTTTAGTTCTATGCTAAATACTCTCCCTGTTAGAATGCGAAATCTTTATGTAGTCTATTCCTGAAAGGTAAAATATGACAGCTTTGGGTAAGTGAGAATAATGGTGAGACTCAATTTGGGTTTAAAATCCCTGATACTTTTTGACTTGCCTGTCTCAAGGGCGCTCTATGAGTGGTTTATTTTGAGTAATTGACCTAAATAGTAACTGATTTAATAATTTCTTTTGTTTCAAAGGATTTCACTAAGTCTGCTCATATTGACCCACTTACACTACAGAGTAGTACAACCACTAACTGACTTCAACTGTTTTTCTCATCTAACAGTGTCTTAATTCTCTATGAAGCACTAGTAGGACCCCCATCTAACTTTCCAAGTAAGATATTTATGGCTTGCAAAATTTTTGGTCAAGTTTCAAAGGTATGTAGTCTCAGACTGTTGATCTAGACCTTCCATGGATAGGAAATCAAAAGCAATAAATGAGACATGCTGTATTTGCTGTTGCATCTATCGCATGTGCCACAAGTTACACATGTCTAATAAACTTTGGACTCACTATTCACCCACTACAAAACTTTTGTGCTCATGTGAAGCAACTATTTACCTGGACATGAGTATTACAGTGGTCACAAGACCATAAGTGGTAACTGCGGGGTAGTCCAAGGACACTAAAACACTGTGTGTCGAGTTGAGAGGAGAGAGCTGAGGAGCTCAGTAGTGAAAAACAGGCGTTCGTTTCAGGGGGTTAAAAAAAAAAAAGTGACCACTTCTTGTGTTAGCAAAGTCAAATCAATAGGAGGTATGGAGAGAGGACTCAAAATGAACTTTAATGGCTTAGAAAAGCCTATGCTAAAAGTCTCTTTAAATTTGAAGTTAATACTTACACTGATCTTACTTAAGTTATGTGCTTGTTTCTTGCATTTTCTAATGATCCCTTATACTATTAGAGGGTACATGGCCATTAGAACTGCCACTCACAATAGACAGAATGCAGTAATCACTTGGAAGTTCAAGAGAAAACAAAGCACTTCACATTTACTTTGTGCCCTAAATAACCTAGCACAACTAGATCAAAACATTACAATAGTGCATACAGTATGAGAAACAGACATTTTTTTCCTCTCTTTTTAAAAAAGAAGTAGTACACCATGTACCAATCTGTTCATTAAAAAACAGGTCTCATAAAAGCCTGTACTCCTTTTCATCATCAACAATTGGAAATAAGCTTGTGATTTAGAGATTCAAATGCTGTTCATTATTTTATGCAAAGACTATTTTGGAAATGAGAAAATTCAATAATTCAGCTTTGGCAAAGTACAGATTTTCACAGAATAAGTAAAAGGGTTATTTAACTGCTGTATTTTTTTTTTGGATTTTAATGTTACTGAAAAAGTACATCTCTCCTTCTGCATCACCTCTGCCTTTTAAAAAAGGCAATAAATAAAATGGGGGATTCTTTTTCATGAAATACTATATAGTCTGTACACTTTGTTACATAAAATAACATTGATGACAAGTATGCTGGTTTTGATCTGGGCCAAAAATCAAAGCATATTTGGACAGTCTGTTTGGTGTCATAATGTAATTTCAATTTCCACTGGTAAGTCTTTCTTCTGATTTTTTCCATATTCTTTTTTTTTGTCACTCCAAATACCAAATTTTCCTTTCAGTGTAGCTACTCTATGTATTGTGTTGAAAATTAGGCATATTTAGCGTGACATGTGAAATAGCTATTTCAGAACAGTTTTGATGAATGATTCA